CCCGGAGACCTCCCTTCACTCTGCTTGCCCCACTCCACTGTCCTTCCACTTTCGGGAGACTTCTTGACGCTTCGACAGAGGGACCAAGTCCTGGCTGCTGCTCCCCTAACACGGACAGCCAACATTGTGCTGACTTGGAGTAGCAGGCTCTGACCTGGCTCTCGGGCAGTCCTGGGAAGCGGGCGGTGGCTCAGCCAGTGCTTGGCCCCAGAGGAGGTACGCCCCTTTCGGGCCATCCCAGAGCTCTGTCCAGCATAGAGCTCTCACAAGATAAACTCCACCTTGCCTTACTTTAAACTCATGTTCTTTTACCTCGTCTGGAGCGAAAGCATGCTCTCGTACATGGGCAAGGATGAAGCAGTTGCTGTCCCTTCCACAACACGGAGTAAACCCTTCCACGGATGGCAATGATAGGACATCAAGGGCAGGGAGGCACGTCTTGGCCTGGCCACTCAGCAGTCCCATTGAGCATGTCCTGCTGCCCACCTCAGTCTTCCCCCCCTATGACAGAAAGGTGACAACGTTGACCTACAGATATTTAGAAAGCACCTTCTTTCCCGTTGACCTGGATTATACAAGCAAAATATCAGTAGCAAAATTTTTTAGTTTCTAATTTCTTAAAATATTATTTTGGAGGCAGAGTGAGAGATCTGATCTTCTGGTTCACTCCACCAGATGTCCGTAAGAGCTGGACCTGGACCAGGCCACAGTCGGGAGCCGGGGAACTCAGCCTGGATCTTACACTTGGGTGGTGGGGACCTACGGTGCACTTGAGCGGGAAGTGCCAACTGGGATCAGAGATGGGATGGGAAGACACGGGCTTCCCAACCCAGCCCGCGTTTTAATATCACCTCTGTCCTGGGCTCCACTTCCTCTTTCTTTTTACTTGAGTGTTGCCAAGATCGTGGCTGTTTACCTGGTATGCCAGAATTCTGCCTGGTTGTCATTAAGTCCAATAGAACTCAGCACAGTATTTTATAACTAATAGAAATATGCTTTCTTGTTATCAATATGAAGCATTATCAGCAATTTGTAATTAGCAAATGACAATGTCTCTAATATCCCATTATTTTTTCTTCTTTTCTTTCTAGAAGCTGCTATTACACTCAACCCAATTTCAGACTGCATTTCTCTAATCATGCGTCTTGAATTCATTTGTGGTCACATAGTCCCCTTCTAAGGAAACACACGAAACAGTTTCTACTCTGAAGTTTTGCTTTAAAAAAATGAACCTTTGATGCTTTGCTCCTTTGGCAGTATCATATCTGAGAGGCCAACATTCTGTCACAAAAAAAGGTAAAGAACAAAACAAAACCCACCACGTGATATCTAGAAGGAACGCGATAGTTATGTCTATGAACATCTTTCCAAAAAGACGGTGGAAACTTGCAGCGAGCACTGCGTGTGGCGCTCTCCGCGTCCAGCCCCGGGTCCTCCCGCCCTTGCCGTTCCTTCTCCCGAGCTGGGTGAGCTAGCCGGGGGTCGGTCTCCCCTTTCCGCCAGGGCGCCCACGTCCCCATTTCACACTCACTTTCTGGCGCGGCGAAGTTTGCGGCAGCCCAGAGCCTTCCACCTCATGTGCTGGCAGCGGGGCACACTCTGGAACACGGCTTCCTTCAGGAACTTGGAAAGGATCCTCTCTCTCTGAATGTTGCAGACCACTTTGCCTTCTCGGAGCCGGCCGGTCCAGTGGCATCTCCTGCGGCGGGGAGCGTGAGGATCGAGCTTCGGAGACGCGGCCGCCCTCTGTGGAACGGGGAAGGAGATGGCTGTTTACCTAACGGCGCGGTGAGTCAAACAGCCTGGCCGGTGAGACTGGCGCTGCGGGATCAATTTAGTTAACGGCAGGCTTGCCAGCGCCCTGCCGGCCTCCCTTAGCGACTGACTCGCATCACCCATGGAGAGGCAGGGCTGGCCTAGCTGCCGGGAGCAAGCACTTAACAAGTAAACTGGAGGCTACTCCAAAACGTTTATGGGAAACCGACTTACAGCAACTTTAGTTTTTTGTTGTCCAAAGGTTTGGAAATCTATGCATAGTCTTTTATATTTAGAGATTTATTTATTAGAAAAGATTGCAGAGAGATGGGGGGGGGGGGTGTGTGGATCTTCTGTCTGCTGGCTCACTCTCCCGTAGCCACAACAGCCCCAGGGCTGGGCCAGGACAAGGTTAGGAACTGCATCTGGGTCCCCGTGTGTGACAAGGACCTAAGACTTGGATCACGTCCCGCTGCTTTCTCGGGCACCCTGGCAGGATGCTGCATCCGAAGCGGCTAAGTGCAGATTCCAGCTGGTGCTCCTATGGGATGCTGGCAGTTTAATCTTGCTGCGCCACAACCCATGTTTTCTATGAACATTTTTGAAGATATCTCTTCATAAGCATGGACTGCACTTTTTTTTTTTTAACTCCAAAATGAGCTCTTACGGAGATTTTGAAGTACACAGCCTATGTTGGTCACTAAAGAGTAGAGCTAGAAATGAGAGGGGTGCAAAGCGATGCGTAAGGAGAAGGCACCGTGGGTGACAGAGGCTCAGTGCCAGCTGGATGCGCCCAGGTTCGCACAGGCAGGCAGCAGCCCAGCACTCGGCTGGCAGCCTTTGCGAGGGACCATTCGCTGCCCTCCCCAGCAGTGTTGTTTCCATCACACTTTTGTGCAGGGGAGTGAGAGAGACTAAAGATGTGCTTGATGCATGCGTGCATACATCTGCATTCATTTGATAATTAAGGAGCAAAATGAATATTTGGGACTCACTTTTGATGCCAACCATCAGCAAGCTTCAGACAGCTGCACACATACCAACATTTACTGCATAGGGCAACCAGTGAGAGTTCCCAGGTCCAGGCTGGCGTTGTGCTCCATTTGTAATACCAGCCTCCACATCAGAGTGCCAGCTTAAGTCCTGGCTGCTCCACTTGGGATCCAGCCTCCTGCCAATGCCCCTGGGGAAGTGGCAGAGGTTGGACCCACGTAGAAGACCCAGCTGGAGCTCCTGGCCCCTGGCTGCCGCCTGGACCATCCCTGCTCATTGGGACCATTCTGGGATTAAATCAGCAAATAAAAGATTCTTCTCTCTCTCTCTTCTCTCTTTCTCTCTCTTCTTCTCCTAACTTGTCACTCTTTCAGATTAATTAGTTCATTAAAAAAATCCAAGTCCTTTACAGAGAGTAAAGTATCCTATTAGAACAGAACACTCCCTTGGTATGCCGCATGGCTGAAAATATGCTTAGTTCTTTTCTGTTTATATAACTGAGGGTTTGGAGTCATGCACTCAGCTTGGACAAAAGAAGTCGGAGGTATGTCTCCAGCTGCCGGAATATTCTCATTCAGCAGCCCCTCCGTTCCCCTCTGTCTCTGAAAACACCTGAAACCATGAGACTGACACTGCTGTTCTGTCTGTCTGCTGTTCTTGCTGTTCTGTCACATATTTTAAATAAGTTTGTATTCAAAATGTACCTTTTTGTTTCTTCTTAGAAGATTTTTAAAAAATTTTTTTAAGTTTGGAAGTTGAAATGGAGAAGCTGTGTCTGTGTGACTCTGGGTACTGGTGTGTCACGTGCAATTGCCGTGATGTGTGTGGCTTTGGCCAAGGGTGTTCCAGCTTGGTCAACAGCTGGCCAGCACTACCAGCTTCTGTAGCAGCCAGGTGGTTGGTGTGCCTTCCTGCCTTCCTCGTGTTTTACAGCAAGGTTTCTTAGCCACTTCAGAGTAGGCTAGCTATGAGGAATGGGGCTGAAGCCTGCTGCAATATTTTATTGGAAAGGCGGATATACAGAGAAGAGAGACAGAGAGGAAGATCTTCCGTCCGATGATTCACTCCCCAAGTGAGCGCAACGGCCGATGCTATGCCGATCTGAAGCCAGGAGCCCTTCCACGCGGGTGCAGGTTCCCAAAGCTTTGGGCCGTCCTCGACTGCTTTCCCGGGCCACAGGCAGGGAGCTGGAAGGGAAGCGGGGCTGCTGGGATTAGAACCGGCGCCCATATGGGATCCCGGGCGTGCAAGGCGAGGACTTAACCACTTGTGCCACCGCGCCGGGCCCTATTTGTGTTTTTTTTTTTTTGCCAAAATTGGGAAGCAATTCCTGGCAGCTTTTGTCTTTCTCTGTGCTGTGGTATCAATCATGGTGGTTTAAGTGTATTTAATACTTCCATTGTCTTTTCTTAAATGTTTGTTTTCATTTTATCTACAAGAGAGAGTGAGAGCGCAAGCAAGAAAAGGAGAGAGAGAGAGAGGAGGGAGTTGAGGGGGATGGTTCATTTGCTGGTTCATTCTGTAAATTCCCGCAACCATCAGGGTTGGGTCACACTGAAACCAGGAGCCTGGAGCGAAGCGTGAGGCGGACAGGAGTTCAATGCTCCAGCCTTCCTCTGTCACCGCTCCCTAAGCCTTAAGCAGGATGCTGGATCCAAACAAGAGGCAGTGGGACTTGAACCAGGCACTGCAATGTGGGATGTGACGTCTCCAGTGGCCACTCAGCTGCTGGGACAGACACCCATCCCTGTCCTCTGCCATGAAGGGGGACCTCTCCCCCAGAAAGCCCGGCTTGAACGTTTGCTGTTGTTTTCCCGGCGCTGCTTTGGCTTCTTACCTGCTTTAACCTGGACTTGGCCCCAGCTGGGGACAGTGCAGCTCTCTGTCCGGTTCTGCCGTGGATCATGCGCGTGGAGGTGTCTGTCCTCTCTCTCCCCATCTCTGTGTGTCTCTCTTGACCCGTTGGGGCTGTGCACGAGGGTGCGAGGTCTTCACTGAATGCCAGATGGGGACACGCACTGGAAGCACCCAAACCTGGTTTCAGCCTTCCCTTGAGGAAAGCGCCCTGGCTGCCTCAGAAATGATCCCCGCCCAGGAAGGGATTCAGAGTTTCTGCTGAAAATCCCCAAAAGACGTGGGCAGGACATTTTTTGACGAGTTGCCTCTTCCTGCCTGGGTGACCCAGGATGGGAGCCCGCAGGGTTCCAGGCCAGTGCTGGAGCCATTGTGACGCTCGGAATGGGAAGGAGTGGAGAGCCACAAGCAGGTTTCTTGGGCTCTTCCTGGCCAGGAAGCTGGGAGGAAGACCACCTGCAAGGCGTGCCACTGCCCCTCCTCCCTCCTCCCTCTGTGCCTGGAAGGGCCGGCATGGAAACAGCCAGCAACAATCCCACTGGGGTCAAGTTTCCACCCCTCACTATGGCTCAGCTCAAAAACTACACCCATCCTGAGATCCTGGCCCGCACCTTTGAGAACCTGTCTAACCTCCACAGGCTGCTCCCAAGTCATCTGACAGAGACGCTCTGTTGCTACAAGAGTGAAGAGGACAAGCAAAAATGTGCGTCGCTATAGAGGTTGGCTCTTTGATAAGCACGTGGCTTGTCTTGGCCCATGCGACCTCCGTGCCAAGCCATGGCAGTGCCTGGTGCTTGACACTGCGCATCTGTTGGGTCCTTAGGACCCGTACCGCAGCCACTGGCTTCTGGGACCTTGCTCTCACAGTTTATCCACATGCTGATCCCTGTCCAGTCACTGTGGACTTAGGATAAGCCAAAGTGTAGCCATGGGGAGCTGGCCCGGGTGATACAGACTGCCCCATTTACTTCTGCAGTTTTAGATTTGATATTTTTAAAAGATTTATTCATTTTTATTTGAGGAGGCAGATTGACAGAGAGAAGAAGAGACAGAAAGATCTTCCATCTGCTGTCTCACTCCTCAAATAGCCACAACGGCCGGAGCTGAGCCAGTCTGAAGCCAGGAATCAGAAGTTTCTTCCAGGTCTCCCACGCGAGTGCAGGGGCCCCGAGGATGACGTGAGCTGTCTTCCTCTGCTTTCCCAAGCTGCAAGCAGGGAACTGGATAGGAAAGCGGAGCACCTGGGACACAAACAGCGCCCAATGGGATGCTGGCGTCCACACGACGTGCAGGTGGGGAGTTAGCATGTGGAGCTCTGCACCAGCCCCTTCTGATTTTAGATGAGACAACACCAAGTTGGAGAACAGATTTTGAATTTTCTTCCTTTGCTGTGCTTCCCTTTGCTCCTTCTGATTGCCAGGACGGCACCACCCTAGAAAGAAAATGGATGCTTCCCTGGGCACAATAAGCAGCCTGCACTTTTTGTTGTTCTGTGTGACATTCCACTCCTGAAACGTGGTCAGGGAAATGGATGCTTTGGGCCAATTTGCATAGTTGGCGTCTGAGTGCAAGCTGGGCCGGAGCCATGTAGAGCAGAGGCTTCCAGACAGATTTGCAGAGACAAGGAGAGAGCTCTAGGCAACAGCCTAGCTTGCCTTGTTTTACAAGGCCCGTTGTTACACAGCTGGGAGAAAAGCAGTCAATGGCTGGCGGGCATCCTGGGCCTGGTTAATGCCAAATTGGTGTTCAGTATACCAATGTGCCAGTGTAGTCGCCTATTCTATCTTAATTTTAAAAATTATTATCCTGAAAGATATGTGGAAGGATTTGATGCCATGGGCCCCAGCAGGGCTTGGGCTGGCCTGTGTGAGTGCCACTTGGCACCGGGTAACCCACTGTGCTTCCAGGTGGAGGAACTGTGGAGCAACCAGGAGAGGGGCAAGGGGATGAGTGGGACGGAGGATCGTGGAGGGAATATGCTGCAGGAGAGGAATTTCTTTTGAGGGACTTCCACCAACAAGGCCACTGTACCTGCTGAGTGTGGAGCGCATGTGTCAGCACTGGGCCTCCTCAGTGGCTCAGACGGAGCAGTGGACGGCATGGCCAGATGCGCATGAAGGCTGTGGCAGTCCACTGGGGCCTGTAGAAGAGGAAGGAGGGCAGAGCAAATTGGTCAACTCTAAGGTGGACTATGTCAGCCAACGGACCTGGAAGGATTTCCTCATCCTTGGAATGGTGAGACTGATAGCATCTCAAAACTCTCAGAGCAGAACTAGTACCTGAGCAGAACCCTTGGAGCACGCTCCACATCGGGCACCCTGCGATGGCACTGGGGGGCCCTTCCACATCCCCGGGTACCGGGCAAGTTGGGGGGCTGGGTGCGGCTTCCCCCTTTCACTCCTCCCTTCCCCAGATACGGGAAGAAGAAAATTTGGAAACAATGGTCTCACCCACCTTCCCCTAGCCCTCAACCCTTCCTACCCTAACCAACTATGCAAACATTGTCAAAAATAACATGAAATGGTATTAAAAAAAAAGAAGTTTCCATTGTAACACAAATCCATGCCATCACTAAAATGTACAGTTCAGCTAACCACTTCCTCCCTCCTTCCCTCCCTCCTTCTCTCCCACCCTCTCTTGCTTGCTTGCTTCTTTCCTTCCTTCCTTCCTCCCTTTTTGATTTTTTAAAAAAGATTTTATTATTTATTTTTATGGGAAAGGCAGATATACAGAGAAGAGAGACAGAGGGGAAGATCTTCCGTCCGATGATTCACTCCCCAACGGCCTCAACGGCTGGACCTGAGCCAATCTGAAGCCAGGATCCAGGAACTCTTCCAGGTCTCCCACACAGGTGCAGGGTCCCAAAGCTCTGGGCCATCCTCGACTGCTTTCCCAGGCCACAAGCAGGGAGCTGGATGGGAAGCAGGGCTGCCATGGTTAGAACCAGCGCCCATATGGGATCCTGGGCGTGCAAGGTGAGGACTTTAACCACTACGCTATCACGCTGGGCCCTGATTTCTTTTATATTTGTCCTCTTTGTTTTTCTTCTCCTTGCAACAAGACTATCTAGATGATGGAAGCAATGCATTGGTTTTATTTTTAAAATAATTTATTTTGGGTCTGCCACAATAGCCTAACGGCTAAAGTCCTTGTCTTGCACTTGCTGGGATCCCATACGGGTGCTGGTTGGCATCCCAGTGGCCCCACTTCCCATCCAGCTCCCTGCTTGTGTCTTGGAAAGGCAGCTGAGGATGGCCCAAAGCCTTGGAACCCTGCATCGGTGTTGGCGACCTGAAAGAGGCTCTTGGCTCCTTGCTTTGGATCAGCGCAACTCCGGCAGATGTGGTTGCTTGGGGAGTGAATCAACAGATGGAGGATCTTCCTCTCTGTATCTCCTCCTTTCTATATATCTGACTTTCCAATAAAAGTAAAATAAATCTTTTTATTATTATTATTATTTTTTTATTGGAAAGGTGGATATACAGAGAGGAGAGACAGAGAGGAAGATCTTCCGTCCAATGATTGACTCCCCAAGTGACCGCAACGGGCCGATGCTATGCCGATCCGAAGCCAGGAGCCTCTTCCGGGTCTCCCACGCGGGTGCAGGTTCCCAAAGCTTTGGGCCGTCCTCGACTGCTTTCCCGGGCCACAGGCAGGGAGCTGGAAGGGAAGTGGGGCTGCTGGGATTAGAACCGGCGCCCATATGGGATCCCGGGCGTGCAAGGCGAGAACCTTAACCACTTGCGCCACCGCGCCGGGCCCATTTAAAAAATAATAATTCATTTTATTTTTTATGATGCCTCAGCTATGTTTGAGAGGGATGCATGCCCATGTGGACCATTGATTAGGGTGGGGAAGGTCCAGGAATGGGGAAACTGGATGAGACAGCTGCCTCCAATCTCCTTTTTATTCCTGCATCTGGGGAAAGCAGGAGAGAAGGGGAGAAGGAAGCTCCCAGCAGCCCAACTGCGTCAGCACCCAGGGATGGGGAATGGGCACTGGATGTCATCCCGGGGTCCCCGATGTGGAGCATGTTCCGAGGTGCTGCTAAAGTGGTTTCGATAGTTCTGAGTTGCTGTTGGTCTCATTGTCCAAGGTTGAGAGAATCGTTCCAAGGTCTATTTGACAACATAGTTTGCCTTCTGCCTTAAAGTCTCCGCTTGCCCAGACACTTGCTGTCAAAGCTTGGCCAGGAGAGCTGTCCAATTTGTCCTGCTGTCCATGATACTAGACTCTGTAGGCCTCAGTGAACTGGTTGTCACGTCCTTCATGAGCATCTGGGCATGCCACCCACTGTCCGCTGCACAGGTTCCAGAAACCATGGAGACCCGGTTCTGACACATGTACTTTCCAATCCTTTGATTTTCACCATTGTCAGAGTTCTGAGTCCAGTAGCCCAGTAAACCTGACTACTGTGTGTGCCGGCCAGTGCAGTGTCCAGCGCAGTCCATCATCTAGATCAGCCTACACACACAGTGGTGGCTGTAGTCAGCTTTGTCCCCATTTCCATCTCATGGACAAACCGACGGATGCTGCAGCCTGGCCTAACCCTACCCACTGCACACTTCACCCTTATGTACACCTGTGGGAACTACCGCTTAGCTATAACAACCCCCAATGATCCCCACCAGGCCAGCCCCCAGTCCTGGTGCCCCGACTCAGAACTCTCTTGAGCCTGGTTAGTGTCACGGCCCAGCCTAACACGGTCCACAGCCTGCCCTGACACTGGTGTCACTCACTCAACACTGTGCTCAACCCCTTCCAGACAGGACCCTCAGTCATGGCTTTTATGTATGCCTCGAGGCAGTGATCCGTGCCATCTAGCCCAGCTCAGGTGTCCCATGTGGGCGGGTGTATTGGGTTGGCCCCAAAATGTCCTCTGATTTCTCTCTAAATCACTCAGTTTCAGGCCTCTTGTTTAGCTGTAAGGGCAGTAGCCTGTTTGGTGGAAGTCCGCCGGAAGTCACTGCTCACCTGTCAGGTTCTCCCTCAGCAGTCCTCCCTCACCCACACCTGCCCTGAGCAATCCTCAGCCTCCTATGCCTGCGAGCGTGCTGAACCCGAAGCCTGCTCTTCCTGCAGAGTGCCGTGCCCTCCTGGGACCCTGCCTGCCTAATCATGACCAACGTACATTCTAATGTGTCTGTTGGCATGGCACCATTTGGTCCCCACATAGCTTTAAAAAACAAACAAACAAAAACAGAATAGCCAGCTATGTTGACACACTGGTACAATTCACACAGATTTGGCATTAACCAGACTCAGGATGCCCACCAGCTATTAGCTGTTTTTCTCCCAGCAGTGTAGCACTTGTTTAGGTACAATGCAGCCCAGGCAGCTGCCCACAGCTGGGTTGGAAACAATGCATTGAATTATAGTCTAGTACAAGCTACTTATCTCATCGTCCATGGGCATTTTGATTAGGGATCAGTTAGGGTCAATGTAAACCAGAGAATGTGGCTAATGTTAGAATGACTGAAGGAAAAAGTAATAATGATTGCCTGAAGCCAAGTTAAATCGGAGTGAAACTGGGAACATGGAATTCATGCTGCCAGGCGTCACCCGTCCCCGAAATCACGATTCTTAGATTTCAGTGTGTTCATTCCTCATGCCAGCCTCTGGACTCAGATTTCTATAGCAGAAGCCAGGACTTGTTTCAGCGCCTCGCCTGCCTCCTCCTGGTGTCTGATGTTGGGCAAAGCATGCCCCCACCCTCAATTGTTAAAGTGAATGCAGAAACCCCCCTGCTCCTGCAAGGGAGGACAGCAGTACGTAGGAAGCAGGTTCGTTCTACACCGTTAGCAACTTGCTTCAGTGTTCTGTGCGCTCACCACCCTCGCCCGATGACATGTGATATGTGTATTGCAGATGGACCGCTTGGAGTGTGGAGGGAGCCTCCTCCTCATGGCCCCCGCTGGCACCGGAGCACAGGGCTGGTAGGAGGTGGTTTGTCCTCGGCTTTATGCCACAGGGCCACATGGCAGCTGCATTAGGGCTGGGAAGAACATTTGTGTCAGAGGCTGGAACAGAGTTGAGCTGTTCTGAGCAGCTCTCTATGTCAAGATGCTGCTTCCTAGCTCACTCTTGAGAATCCCTGATGAGAACTGGATCCACCCAGGGTCAGTCAGAGACCTGCCCTGTACCACCTGCCTCTTGGGAAAGCTGCCGGCTGGCGAGGGAGGGTGACTCCTGCGTTTCTGATAAAATAACCTGAGAGCTTGTCTGGCACTGGCTTTGTTTTTGCCAAAGAGTGTGCACTGCACTGACGTCATTCCTGTGCTATGGCCACTCAGCACGTAGAAGCCAAGCTCCAGGGTTAAACTTCTTGGGGCTCCCCGAAACCAGTACAGTTCCCACGTACCCACTGAGCATAACAGCAGAGTAGACATGCTTATGCCAGAGTGAACAAAACCAGTCCATGCTGGCCGAAAACCAGTCCTGTGGAAGCAGAAACTATCATCGAGTCATATTCTGGGTTTGTATTCATTCGGCTGGCTGTTACTTTTACTTAGATTCTTACATTATGTCTTTTGCTCGGGCAGAATCATCAGCTAAAGGGGCCAGATACTAAAGTCAAAACTTACTTAATTTGTTCCAAGAAGGTTCAGAATGTCTGTGCGTGGCTAACTATGCAATAAAAGAGAAAATGAGAATCTCAATAACAACAGACAAAATGCAGTGACCTGCTGTTCACGTGAGAACACGCACAGGCAACCAGCAGTTTTCGTGGTAGTCACGCATGCCTGCCTTGCTTGTTGATTCATTTATTTTCCGGGTACCTGTTGTGTCTAGCACCGGGCTGAGATGCAGCGTTGCTAGTCGTGATGTCGGAGTGAAGAAATGACAGAGCCAAATAGTACTTATTAAGTGGCATAAACGTGTGTTATTCCTGCTGTGGAAAAGAGCATTGACTCAATACCACCTATCCCGTCACCAGGCGAGGATCCTGAGTTCTCCGGCTTGGAGAAGGTCTTGGCAAGGTATCAGCTGCCAGAAGAGGTTCACCTGAGCCCAAAGCCGAGCAAAATGCCGTCGTGGAAAAGAAAATCCATCAACAGTGTAAGTGAAGGGTGGAAGAAGTGCCATTTGTGGAAGAAGAATACAGAGGAACCTCCCATGTCCACCATAGTGGTCAGGTAGGCGCTGTCCCTCCTTGCCCCCTGTTGACGTAGTCAGAATATGGTGACGGGGTGATGGCAAACGTTCCTTGTGATTCAGCTGACAAGAAATGACTTGATGGAAAGAAGTGTGGTTCTTGCTAAAAGCCGATAGACGGCTTTCCTACCCCCTTTGCTGATGGTGGGCCTCTGCTGCGAGAAGCCTGTGGTCCCACACCTGTCCCGCCAGGCTCTAACCACTAGACTAGTCAGGTGGAGATGCAGCATGGCTGGAGAGGGTTCTGGAAAAAGGATTCAGCTACTGAGAGGTAGGGCTTCCTGGCTGAATGAGTTGGGAAGCACCAGTGCCTAAGGTTGGCATGACCAGGGCCTGGGATACGTTAGGACGACGTGAGAGAACCTTGGCACTCTCCCTTATCTGCCAGATTTTGTGCTGTGAGAAAAGGGAAGCCACGCCAAGGCCTTAGCAAGGGTGACACTGTGTGACTCCAATGCTGACCTCCAAGAAAGCTGAGGGTGGACGCACAAGGCCCTCGGGAAGCTTCTGCAGTTAAGTCAGCAAGGGAGGGTGGCCTCAGGCCAGGTGGCAACCATGTGAATGTGGATCCTTGGGCTCAAAGTGTTAAGTTTGGGTTACTTGGAAAATTATTTTGGGACCAGCATCCTGGCACAGTGAGTTAAACTTCTGCCTGCAATGCAGTATCTTACATCAGAGGCCTGGTTCGAGTCCTATCTGTTCTGCTTCCTACGAAGACCCACACTAACGTGCCTGGGAAGGCAGCCAAAGACAATCCCTGTGGGCCCTGCCATCCGCGTGGGAGACCAGGATGGGCTTCCTGGCTCCTGGTGTCACCCTGCCCACTGCCCCAGTGCTGTGGGCATGGCGATCATTTGGAAGTGAGCTAGCATATGGAAGACTCTCTCTCTTTCTCTCTCCCTCTCTCCCTTTCTAAACTCTCTCTCTCCCTCTCTCTCTGTCTCTCTCTCCCTTTCTCCCTCTCTCTCTCTCCCTTTCTAAACTCTCTTCCCTTTCCCTCTCTCTCTTCCTCTCTCCCTATCATTGTAGCTTTGCCTTTCAAACCAATCCACCAAAAAATCATTTTAAACAATAAATTATTTTTAGCACACTAGCTTCCTTGCTTATACCAGATAGACAATGCTTCTATGTTTGCTTTTACTGCGAATGGACAATATCTAATAAGTGATGCTCACACTTTGCACATAGTAGGTATTTACACACACTGTTGCCAGGCTGACAGGAGAAATGCGTACTTTGCCATGAAGGCGGAGCCAGGGAGGGAGCTTGGGTTCATGAATTCGCCAGTACCGGGAGCTTCTATTGAGGCCATGGTCATAGTGACATAATGGCTTCCTCTATTCATTTTCCCTGTCAGCATCCTCCATGGAATAAATTGCTAACAATTTTAAAACCCATAGCCAGTGGCAGGTATTTAGTCTGATGTTCAGGATGCCACTTGGAAATCCTGTGTCACACACCCCAGTGCCTGCTTTGAGTCCCAGCTTCACCCCCAATTCCAGACTCCTGCTGCCACACACTGGGCAGGAGGTGACGGCTCAAGAAGTTGGGCCCCTGCTGCCCATGTGCGGCATCTAGGTCCAGTTCCTGGCTTTTGCTTTGGCCTGGCCCATTTTTGGGTACTGTGGTCCTATGGGGAGTGAAGGCTTCCTCTCTCCCTCATTCTCTCCGTTCTCCCTTAGAATAAATAACACAAACACTTTAAAAATCTATAACCAAGCAAGTGAAGTATATGGTATAAAAGAAGGTTGTCATTAGAACTGTGATGTTTTATGGACACGGAATTGAATAAACATTGACATTTTTGTTCTGAGAATGATAGAAGTTATTCTAAGTGAGCATCCTTGATTATTCCAATTAAGAGAATTTGACTGTTTCTTAAACTTATTTAAAAATTCAAATCCTGGGGAGGGCTGAGGTGAGTTCAGCCTCGGGCTTGGGTGGATGGAGTTCCCAGCTGCGTGGTGGCTGTTGGAAGTACCTGAGTCATGTTGGACTCAATCCTTGGGGTTCTATCTCCAGCTACTGCTACCAAGTGGTGAGTGGGCTTGCAGGTGGCCAGAACGCCAACAGTGTGGGGCTTCCCCCGCTGGCTGTCCAGCGGTGAGCTCTGGAGTCTTAGGGGGTATGGAATTATTGCCTAGGGACAACCATGGAAAAGGCCACTATACAGCCAGGTGAGGAATGAATCCTGAGAGACTCCCAGTGACAGGGCTATTGTACTTGCAGGTTAGTGAGGGGACTGAGACCTGGTGGTTTGGAAGGAAGAGACTGGAAGATCTGTATGGCTCAGATTGTTACCCGCCTACATGAGTGTCCTGAGTAGGGCTTGTTAGGATGGAACATTGCTGACCACAACGCAAGTGTCCACATCAAAGCTAGGGGTCTGTCTATCAGGGCTAGATCACAGTACCAGACTGAATGTCAGAACAGGGGAAGGGTCAGATTAGGCAGGGCTGAGACACTAACCAGCTCTTACTGGGGCCATGACACTGACCAGGTATGGGGGCAGATTCTATGTGGTATATGCGTGCAAACCTATGGAAATACAAGTCCTGCTGGTTAGCTCAAGAGTTGGGGTAGGGGGTGGTGACTGGCTGAACGAGATGCGACCATGGAACTTGCCATCATTTGGTGGTACAAGGATCGAGAATAGTCTGGGCAGGTCCAGGCTACACCACCTGCATGTGCATCCTAAAACAGGATGAGGGGCATGCTGGTCCCTATAATTCACCAGCTCATACAAGGCCAAGATGGAGGGGCAGACTATATTGGGCAAGGGCCTCGTGCCCATTGGCATGTGTGAGATCTGAATCTGAGAGTGGGCCGAATGGGGGAACATGGGAAACTCCTCTAGTGGGTCATAGCTCATGCTGGTGAGTATGTGGCCCAGGACTGGGGATCAGGCAAGCTGGACAAGATAGCTCCAAATGTTGGCAAAGGTGTAGGTTAGATTTGGAAGGGGGCAGACTCTGCAGGGCCGAGCAGACCTTACCTTTCTGGCAAGTGCAGAAACCAGACTGGAGCTCAAGTCATGCCAGGCTAGGCTGTTACACCTACCCAGTCTGCATGAGCCAAGGATGGGAGCACACTGAGCAAGACCAGGTTGCAGCACCTGCCAGAGAGAGCTGGGCCTGGGGGCAGGCCAGGTCAGGCAAGCTACAGCATCCAAAGGCAAAGGCCAACATAGGGGAGGGACTATGCCAAGCTGGGTCAGAGCAACCACTGGCACACACACGATCTGTGGCTGGGGGCAAGCCTGGTTGTGGAGCTAAGGGGACACCCTGGCTGAGTTGTGGTTCCCACTGGTGAGTGCAAAGGCCAGAGTGGGGTGGCTGGTCTGGACATGTCTGCCATGTCCCTCGGTACAAGTGTGGACTGGGTCTGGGGTGTGCCAGACTGGGCTAGACTACAGTGCCCACTGGTGCTTGTGAGAACCAAGATAGGTGCAGGATGGGCTAGGCTAGGTCTCTGCCCCTGTTGAGCCATGTGTGAGCTGTGTCTGGATGTGGACCAGGCTTGGTCGGGCTGTAACACTCAACAGTAAAAACCAAAATGGGTTGAAGACCTGTCAGGAAAGGCCACTATTCCTGCCAGGACAGGAAGTGGACTAAGTAGGGCTGGCCCATGGGCCCACTGATGGGTGCAAGATTTGGCTCTGGGAGAGGTTCTGCTGGAGGAGCTCGGGCAACTCTTCTGTTAGGAACACAGTCCTTGCAGGTGAGCACAGGAACTATGATAGGGAGCATCCCAGACCAAGCCAGGGAATGGTACCCACTGGCATACACTGGACATAGGTCGGGACGAACCAGGCAGGGCCAGTTCATGTGCTGGTGAATAAGAGCACCAGGATGGACTGTGGGTTGGATCAGTTGGGTCTCAAAACATTGCCAGTTCACATGAGGTCCAGGATGGGTGTAGGCTGGGCTGGGCTAGGCTGTAGCCGCCACCAATGTGAGCTGGAATTGGTGGTGGGCCAGGCCAAGCCAGGCTACAGCACCCACTGGCAAGTGATGAGGTGATGTAGGCTATGTTAGACAGAGCCGCAGCACCCAACCAGCACACACGAGACCAACAGGGGAGTGGGCAAAGCCAATAGGGGAGCTGCGAGGAACTCCTCTGCTTGACCACCACTCTTATAGGTGAGCATGAGAGTTGGGATGGGGGCAGACCAGGCCAGACAGGGCTACAACATCTGTTGGCGCTGTGTGAGTTGGATCAGGGTAAAGCCAGGCTGGGTTGACTGTTCCTACTGGTGCATGCATAAGCCAGAGTGGTTGTGGGTTGATTGGGCCACAGCATCAACTGGCAGATATTGGCACGAGGGCAAATTCTGTCAAATTAAACTGCAGAACCACCTGGAGTGTGCAAGATCTGGGAGTGGGAGTGGGCCCAGTTAGAGAAACAGTGGGCACCTCCCTCTTGGGTTGCCACTCCCATTGGTGGGCATGAGAACCAGGACGGGGCAGGCAGGGCTAGACAGAGAGTGGCACCCACTCAGACATATGTGTGGCTGGATAGAGTGGTTGGTTGGATTGAACTAGGCTTCAGTGTGCATTGTCATGTGTGAGAGCTGAAAGGGATGTGGGACAGACAGGACCAGTCTGCTGTATATACTGGCAATCATGGGAAGCAGGGTAGGGGACATACCTGGTGGGGGTTATTGCAGGTAATTCTGACTAGGCTGCAGCTGCTACTGGTTTGCCTGGGGGCCGAATATGCGATGGAGAAGATCGGGCTGGGCTGCAACACCCATTGGTTTGTGTAGAAGACAGGGCTGGAGGCAGAACTGACCCAGGAATGGCAACCCCCAGTGTTTGCATAAGCTGATTAGGAACAACAGTGTGTCAGACCCTGTATTGGCAAGCACACACAAGAATCAGGTCTGGGATCACCTCAGATGAAGTTTCTTTGGGGATTCCCCCTACTGAATTGCTGGACTTTGAGCCCCGACCATGGAGAGAATTGCAGGTTCCGTGGTCTGACCGTGGAGTGCATGTGTCAGAGCTGGGCCTCCTCAGTGGCTTAGAGCAGTGGATGGCTGACCGGGTGCACATGGAGGAAATGGCAGTCCACTGGAGCCTGCAGAGAACACCGGGTAGCACAACAGAGGATGGAGGACAGAGAAAACTGATCAACTACGCCAGCTAAATGTTGGCAGTGAATATCTGGGCAGAGACGCTAAGGTGGGCTGTGTCAACCAGTGGATTCTGCAGAGATTTCATTGTGCTTGGAGTGGGAGATCTGGAGTAATTCAGAACTGTTGAACTATCAAAACCTCATGAGCAGGACCCTCAGAACATGCCCCACATTGGGGACCCCGGGGTGGTGCTGGGTGGCTGTCCTCCATCCCAGAGTATGATTGGGAGGCTGGGTGTGGCTTCTCTCCTTATCTCCCCCTTCCTATAGATAGGAAGGAAAAAAAGAGAATGTGGAAATGGTGATCTCACCCAGCTTCCTGTAGCCCTTGACTCTTATCACCCTAATCAACTATGTAAAAATCATAAAAAAAAAATAATGGAAAATGAAGATGGGGCTGGAGGCAGTACTTACTTATCCAACAACTGCAACCACCAGTGTGTATGTAGGCTGATGTGGGTAATGACTGAGCCAGACCCCGTTCTAGCCAGCACATGTAAGAGTCAGGTCTGAAGTCACCTCAGAGTAGATTTCTTTGGGGATCTCCCCAACTGAACTTGACTCAGAACTCCAACCGTGGGGTCAATCACAGTATCAGTGGTCTGACTATGGAGTGCATGTGCCAGAACTGAACCTCTGTTGCTGAAGATGGTACAGTGGACAGCATGCTCAAATGCACATAGGAGTCCACTGGGGCCTGTAGAGGACATCCAGGACCATAGTTGAGGATGGAGGACAGAGCACATTGGACAACTACCCCAAACAAGTGTTGACAGCAAATATCTGGACAAAAGGAGACTCTAATGTGGACTGTTGTCAGCCAACGGACCTTGGAAGGATTTCCTCATCCTTGGGGCCACAAAATCAACAGCATCTCAGAACTGTCCAAACCACTTGAGCAGAACCTTCAGAGAATGCTGCACAATGGGGACTCTGGGATGACATGGGGTGACCGATTCAGTCAGGAATGTGGGTGCAGCTTCTCCCCTTCCCCTCCCCTTCCCCCGAGATACACCAAGAAGAAAAAACAAACTTGGAAGCAATGGTCTCATCCACTTTCCCCTAATCCTCGACCTGTCCCACTCTAATCATTGGTCTACGTGGGCAGGCATCCTTCTCAACTGTGCAAACATCATCCAAGGAAAAGAAAACTATTTAAAAAAAAGATCCCCAGTGCATGCCAGAAGCCACTGACAGTACAAAACCCATGTGAAGTTGTTGATTTTTTCTTACACTTACCTATGGTAACAGTTAGCTTGTAAATTAGGTCCAGTAAGTGATCAGTAGTAGTAACACAATAGCAATGCTAGCAAAAATGCTGTGTGAATATGGCCTTTCTCCCTCCCCATAGGGGAGGCGTCCTTATGGGAGAACCTGTAATCATAGCACAGTTGCTTGTTTTGAGAACATTCCCCACCTGCGTTTAGAGGAAGCATTTTCAGTTTCTTTGTGGCCTGTCCCAATCACTACCCTTGTCATTATTAAGTCATATAAGGGTTATTTTTTTTTAGATATTTATTTTATTTGAAAGACAGGTTTTTATAGAGAAGAGACAATGAACTGAAATAAACTGGAATAACCTTAACCCTCCGAATGGCTGTAGCAGCCAGAGCTGAGCTGGTCCAAAGCTAGGAGCTGGGAGCATCCTGCCAGGTTCCCCACGGGTGAAGGGGCTCAAGCACTTGGGCTGTCCTCCGCTGTCTCCCCAGGCCACAAAGGCAGGGGGCTGGAGGGGAAGTAGAAAGGACACGAACTGGTGCCCCTATGGGATCCCAGCATCACTGGGTGGACGATCAGCCAGCTATGTCACCACGCCAGCCCTGTGACATGTGTCTTTAAAAGTACCCTATTAAACAAGACCAGAGAGGAAGCAGAAGTGACTGCGGACACAGAATGCTGCCCCTTTCAAAGAAACTAAGATCTGATTTCCGGTTAACACGACTCATTCCATTTGCTCTCTTGCCAGATGGCTGAAGAAGAACATGCAGCCCACCGAGGACCTCAAGTCGGTGATAAGTAAGCTCTCAGTGTTTGGCCCCATCCAGTCTGTGACCCCGTGCGGACGCCAGAGTGCCACAGTGGTCTATGAGGACATGATTTCAGCCTGCCGCGCGGTGAGCGCTTTCCAAAGCCAGGTCCTGGGCACCATGTTCCAGTGCTCCTGGAAGCAACGATTCCTGTCTAAAAACGTAAGACCTTCTGTGGCCAAAATGCTGCGGGAATGCTTAAAAAGTTTTCACATTTTTCTTTGAGACACACGCACCCCGACTGGTTTACTTCCCAGACACTTTGCAATGGCTGAGGCTCGGCTGGCTGGAGATCATGGTCGGAAACGTCCCGCAGGGCAGGCAGAAACCCAGCGACCAGTCCTTCCTGTTGCCACACAGCCTCTACATTCGGCTGGATGCTGGAGACAGAAGGCAAGAGGCAGGAATCGAACCTAGGGACTCTGACACGGGAGAGGGAAGGCTTTAGGCTTTCTAACTGCTATTCCTAACACCTGTTCCCCTAGGCACATTTTTGTTTGTTTTGTTTTTGAAGCCTGTTTTGTAAAATCTTTAATTCATCAGGGCTTCAATGAAGTATGGAATCACTCCAAAGGATATTTTCAGCAGTGAAAGGAATGAAGGCACTGGGAGTCGAGTTCCAGTCTTGGACATGAGCAGCACCTCCCCCCCCCCCGCCCCGTTTTGAGTCTCCTCCCTTCGCAGAGCGGCCGTCACAGTTTTGCTTTTCTGGATAGAAAGTTGGCAAACGCGTTCTTGCACTCATCCGACTGCACCCTGCTGATCATGAGCTCGCATTCCTCGGCATTTACAGCGTGCAGCCTCTCCTTCTCCAGGCTTCTGAGCAGCTGCTTTGATGTTCTCATGGCCTGGGCAAACAAAACCAGCAAGTCAGGCCCAGAGCCATCGCACACAGGAGTGGGAGGCGTCTGCCCACCCTGGGGAATCCTAAGACACGTGTGGGATATGAGGCAGTCTTTCCACTTCTCCACTTGAATGAGCCTACATCTCGGCAGGCAGGGGACAGGCTTGCCACACCGCATTTCCTAAAAGCCCTCCACGGGTTCGAGGCGGCTGGCGCTAGGATCCCGTTTGGAAGCGTACATGCATGAAAGCAACGGCTCACAGGCCAGCACGTACGAAAACACGAGCGCTAAGCCTTTCCTGAAGTTCAGTTGGCCTGCGTGACTTCTCACCTGGCTTGCAGAACACAAAGGCTAGACAAACAGTGACCTGTCTCTCCTCAAATGATCCCGTGCAGAACTGCCCCTCCGCCCCATTACAGAAACAGAATGCCTGCTTATACGTTTCGTAAAAATCAGTACTTGCAGCCTTACTATGGTTCTCTTCAGTCGCATGGTTAGATATGCTTTCAAAAACTGTTAAAATGTCTCCCTGCCACCACCTCCTGACTTACTCTCTTAAGGTAAATAGATTTTCCTCTGAGGAATGTATTCCCACGGCCCCTACAAATAAAAGATAAATTACTCAACATTTTTGGGGAGCTTTGCGTACGCTTGTAGCCTGGTCCACACTTCCTTCTGGAAAGTGCTGTCGGGGAAAACCTCAGCGACCAGTCCAGCAGCATAGGCCTCCCCGGCCGTCAGCGTCTTCCCGAAGACCAGCACCTCGGCAGCCTGAGGGACACGGAGAACAGGTGGACAACCGTGCTGGAAGAGTCCTGCCAGAGAGGGGGACCCCGCCACCGCAACAGGACCCCTCTCCACAGGTTACCTTGGCCAGGCCCATGATCTTGGGGAATGTGTACGAGGAGCAGCCTTCCGGGCTCAGGCCGAGGCTGGTAAACGGGGTATGAAACGTGGCCTGTGCGGGGCAGGGGCAGAGACAAGAGAAGAAAACCAAAAACACCTTTTCATATGAATGTGTGCGTGTGTTTTAAAGTCACTGTTTGATGGTAACATCACACTCTTTAGTTGCTGGGGCAGTTCTAATCAGTACTGTGCAAACAATCTTTTAAGAGTGTATCTTAGGGCCTGGCGCAAAAGCATAGTTAAAGTCCTCGCCTGAACATGCCAGGATCCCATATGGGTGCTGGTTCTAATCCCGGGGGCCCTGCTTCCCATCCAGCTCCCTGCCTAGCCTGGGAAAGCAGTCAAGGACGGCCCAAAGCTTTGGGACCCTGCACCTGTGTGGGAGACCTGGGTGGAGGTGGGGAGCTCCAGGCTCCTGGCTTCGGAATGGCTCAACTCCGGCCACTGTGGTTGCTTGGGGAGTGAATCATCAGATAGAAGATCTTCCTCTCTGTCTCTGCTCCTCTCTGTGTATCTGCCTTTCCAATAAAAATAAGTCTTTAAAAAACCCTGTATCTTAGTTTTAAGAAGTTTCAAACAAAGTTCTCTATTTCATGGTCAACTCCTTCCTCTTGCCCCTTCACAGCTCATCTGTTCTCTGTCCAGATGGTTTTGCCTTTTCTAGAATGTTCTGAAAGTGGATTTCTATTCTCTGTAGCCTTTTGAATCTGGATTCTGTCCCTTAGTGTAAGTTCCTCGACAGTCTTGATACTGCACTGTTGCACACCTTAACAGCCTGCTGCTTGGGGCTGGGCCACAGCTTGGGGCTGGGCCACAGCTTGGGGCTACCCACAGCTTGGGGCTACCCACAGCTTGTTTCTGTTTTCAGGACTGAATGCCCGGGGTGGTTTCCAGTAGTTTGACCATCATGAATAAGGCCAATATGGAAAGTCAAGTGCACACCTTAAATAGACACAACTCTCATTCTTCATTTGTTACCTTGATGAAAACGAAGAGTAGGGAGATCTTTTGCAGATAATTCTAGCCAAAAACAAAAAACAAAAAAGGCCTTGCAAAAACAGTGCGTGAATGTATGCTTTCAGTGTTGCGGTCAGGATCCAGGTGCCCCCCAGCTAGCTGTAATCAACTCACACAAGCAAACACGCTGACCACGTACACCATGGGCCACTCCCCGCTCCAGCCCCGTGCTACCCGGGGGTCCCATTGCTCGCACGCCTCTCAGCCCCCGTCATGAAGTCGCGTCCTTTAACCCTGGGACGCGGTGTGGAGCGCGGCCGCGCTGTGGTTATGACTGACCGGTCCCTCATGATGAATGATGCTGAGTATCCTCTTTAGTGATGTCACTGCTAAAATATCTTGCCTAGTGTTCAGATGTCAGGCTGTTCAACCTTGTCACTACTGAATCCTAAGGGTTCTTTAGATATTCCTCCGTTTGCGGCATAGCTTTCCATTTTCTTGGTGTTATCCATTGCTCATTCTTACGTTAGGTGTGGATGGATTTAAAGCTGTCCTGGAGCCCTGGAAGGCTCCGGCTTCCTGCTAACGGAGGCCCCGGGAGGCAGCAGCCACGGTTCATGTAGCTGGGTTTTTGGACTCGCAGCGCGGGCCAGCCGCTGTGGGCAGAGTCGGTGGCTGCAGCACCCTGGGTCTTTGTTTCACAAATAAATGTGCACGTGAGTCCGTATTCTAGAAACGGACCTTCAGTGTACACACTGAACAGTTCCTTCAACCTGCCATTCCCCTGACCTTGCTTCAGAACTGTGTCTGTTGGCGTCACAGCCTGGGATCCATTCCAGCACTGGCTACTAAAACATACTCATTTGTAGCTCTTTTCTAGATTTAAGAAAAAAAAAATTTTGTGTGTTTCTTGGTGAACAATACCTTCTTTATGACAGAAAAAATAATGTATAATTGATGGTGTATGTGAAAGTATTTAGGAACTACTTTTTTACTTTTGAATGAATACTTTAAAAAGCATTCATCTCCTAGAATCAGATACTGTTAAGGCACATTTGTCACCAGATATAAATATATAATGTCTATATAAATATATATGATATATATAATGTATATATATGTATATAATGTAGGAAGCATGTAAATGCAACAATATATTCACTCATTGCCTCTCATCTTGTCTTTTGACCCCAAAGAATGCTTACTCAAGAAATGCTGACAAGACCCAGCCTAAGAAAAGCTTTAATAACCAAGAAACTGAAGAAAGAAACAAAAAGAGACAAGTGTAGCCGAGGGACCACAAGCAGGTACAGCTAAAGTTGACAAGGAACAGCCTTTAAAGCAGTTGCTTCCTAAGAATGTTGGTTCTGGCATGGGAGCGCGTGGTGCCTTTGGGAGTGTTGGCACGGGAGCGCGCGGTGTTTGGGAATGTTGGCACGGGAACGCGTGGTGCCTTTGGGAGTGTTGGCACGGGAGCGCGGGAGCGCGCGGTGCCTTTGGGAATGTTGGCACGGGAGCGCGCGGCGCCTTTGGGAGTGTTGGCACGGGAACGCGTGGTGCCTTTGGGAGTGTTGGCACGGGAGCGCGGGAGCGCGCGGTGCCTTTGGGAATGTTGGCACGGGAGCGCGCGGCGCCTTTGGGAGTGTTGGCACGGGAGCGCGCGGTGCCTTTGGGAATGTTCCCTGTCCCTTCCGTGTCTGTTTCCACAGAAGGCTGAGGCGCACATGCACGGATGTGCTGGTCCGACACACGTACATGTAAAACGTCTGTCAAAGGCACCTAGCACAGCTCGAGCAGATATTACTTATTTTATAATTTCTAGCTTAATGTCCATTCCTATAAGAAAGGTCTGCTGACAGAGGAGCAAGTCACCCTGTAGTTATTTTGGGTCAATTCATGTCTAACGCAGCATTCATTCATGAAATAGGTCATGGGAACTCCCTGGCACCTCTGTTGTGATAAGAAGACACGTGTGCCCTACACAGCTGGAGACCAGCAGGACTTGTCGTTGGAGGGTGAACCGTTGCTGACCAGGCCAGAGTTACAGCTGGGGGTGCCCACAGTAGGGGGCAGGGAAGCCAGACGGTCCACCAGCCAGAAGCTGGCACTGGTGATCTCTGGGCAGAGGAGGACTGAGGGTTTTTTTTTTAAGAAGTAAATTTATAGGGTGTTTATTCAAGGTAAACAAGAAGATATCATAAGGTATGTATACAGCAGAATGACTTCACTATTGGCAAAGTGGACACACCATCCCCCATCGTCACCTGTCTCCCGTGGGAGAAGCAGCTGTCATCTGCTCCCGAAGGTCCCGGCTTCCCGAGCTGCGGTCCTCCTCCGGACGCTGGGGCCGTAGACCCGGAGGTCCCTGCACTGGCTGCTCCCCATCCACGACCTTACACCTCCCCATGCCTTGCAACATTTTCGTCTCCCCTGTGACCCACTGACATATATGCCACTCCTACTATGGAAAGGACGAAATGTTAAAACCTACCCTATTCGGTGGGGAACACAGCCTGGAGTGGATCCTGACCAAGGAACGACTTAGAGCTTTGCTTTTCTTACGTACAAAGCAGAGAAAGGTGGCAGCCCCTTCGTCTAGAATCCCGAGTCATGCCAGGATTTGTTTATTTCGAAAAAAAGTCCCACGAGTCCATGTGGCTAACCCGCAGAGATGTCACCCCCATAACAGGCCCATAACATCACTGACCAAGCTAACAATGCAGTTACCCTGCTCTCCCACACACCGCCTGCCAGCCGCCATCAGGGAGTCTGAGGACCACCTAGGCACCGCGCCCCACCTGCCCCCTCAGGCCTCTGCCAGCCGACCTACCTTGTCGGACGCATACGCGACATCGCAGAGTCCCAGGATGGTGACGGCGATTCCCAGGGCGGGGCCGTTGACCAGCGCAACCAGAGGCTTAGGGAAGTCTATAAAGCAGCTCACAAACTTCCTAACAGAGATGGAAGTGCAGAAGCAGCTGTTGCTGAAGCCCGAGGTCACCAGGGCGTGGTCACCGCTGGCCAGCTGTGACGTGGCACTGAGCACCAGCCCCTGGCCCACCCTCCTTCTGTCCGTCCTGCTGGCCACACAATGCCAGGACTGCAGCCGGCACCCACCCTCACCTCGTGCGCCCCGGTCAGGCTGGGAAGCAGCAGCCGGACTGGCATCGGGAGGCCACGTCACAGAATGGACCCTGGCCCACGCGAGCTGTGCGGACGCACGCGGGGAAGTAGCTCGTAGCTCGCCTTGGCCGCCTCTCACCTCAGCAAGTTGCTGTTGTTGTTGGCTTTCTCCTCAAGGCCACCAGGGGGCATTTCGGTGGCGTTAGTCAGGTCGTTGCCGCTGCTGAAGTAGTCACCATTACCTATGGGCAGTGAAACGGGCTCATTCGCTCATCCCAGAAATACCGAGTCTGCACCACACAGACAGAGCTCCCGGGCCAGGCCCTGGACACAGCGAGCAGTCGCCTACAGCTCACGCCCAACCTCAGGAACCAGCGAGAAAGTGTCCGTTGAATAACACCAGCAAGTGCAGATGATGCGCGAGGGGCAGGTGCGCATCATGGGGGTCTGGTCTAAGCGGGGAGCTCACCAAGGAAGGGCCCCTGGACTGGGAGCTGGGGCAGAGACGGGTACCTGGCAGGTAAGGATGGGGAAAACGGTGCCCGCGGAGGGAGGCGCCCACACGAGGCTTCTGGGGTGGGTGATGGGCTCAAGAGCAGCAGCTGTGGCTGCTGGGGAGTCGGGTGAGGGTGAGCAGGCAGAAACTTTGTTCTAAGAGTGACTGAAAAACCGTGTGTGTGTGTGTGTGTGTGTGTGTGTGTGTGTATGCTCACTGGAGTATCAGTTACATAAAGTTACTGATAAAGTGACCAGTTGCTGAGTGTTACTTCAACATGCCTTGACGACTGCCACCAGGCACAGGGGGACCCAGGGGTCCCCTCTTGTCCTCACAGGATAAATTCCAAGACCTTTCTGAGGGCACGTGACACGGGATAGCGCCCTGCTTTTCCCATATCCACGGCTTTTGCATCTGTGGATTCAGCCAGCCATGGGTGGAAATATTTATGAAACAAAAATCCCAGCTGTGTCAGGCATGTCCTCGCTTTCCGGGACTCATGAGAACTGAGGAAGACATGGCGTAATAACTCCTCTACGTTCTGCTTGCTGCGGACCTGGACAGGATCTCCAGGTGCACATATTTACAGGCAAACACTGCCACTGTACATAGGGACTTGAGCATCTGGAACTGTGGAGCGCTTGGGGGTCCCAGAAACGTCCCCCGGGAAACCGAGAGATGACTCTACACACACGCGTGCTCACACACACACACACACACACACACACGAACTCACAGAAAGCAAAACAGGGAAACAAAACCTCAGATGAAGGTGCAGGGGTGGCGAGGGAGGGACCACAGGCCAGAAGTCCCCTTGGTCCCAGGCAGTTCCCTCGGGCGTGCCAGGGCCATCTCACCCGCCCCGAGGCAGTCACCTTGCACTGCTGGAGCCACCCTCTGGGCCCCCCGGGTCTGTCCGTGGCACTAGGCTGGAAACATTTAACCCCTGTGCTCGCGCTGGTTACCCATTGCTCCTCCTTGCTGAGGAGCAGCCCCTGCCCCAGAGTCCACACTTGCTTTGTCGGCCAGCTGTTCATGCCGGGACTGGCCCCACTCAAGCTGTGCTGTGCATGGGATGTCCTGCATCTGTCTGTATCTATCCAAGGGCCACTTGGAGAGTGATAACATCACGTAGGAGCCACACACAACCATCAGCCTGGTGAGTGAACTTCGAGTCCCACCTGCAGTTGCCTTGGCAGGGCCAGAAGAAGCGATGACACAGGCCTCCTCCACGCCACAGACCAGGCATTTCCCACGCCTGGTCCGTGGTACCAGGAAAGACCTCAGAACCTTTTTTCTTCGCCCAAACTCCATTTCTTATGCTGAGATCCTTCTGAAATAGGAACCTAATTAAACAGTCTGAGAAAATATCCTACCTGTTAAAACAGTTATAACTGTGTCATCCTTGCTCGCAGCGTCAAGTGCCAGCATAATTTCATTATACATCTGTATGGATGGAAGAAGAGAGAAAAAAAGACCTCTGAAAAGAAACACCATCACCCAGTGGATTTTACTCTATGTCAGTCCACGAGCCTGTCAGGAGCAGTGTACTGTAGCCACACTGAAGCCATTTTGAATATAGAACTATGGGCCAGTGGAAAATCCCCCGCTGGCCAGATGCTTGGGAAAGAAGTTATGAAACTAATCACACGCTTAGCTTCAACTGTTTCTAGCAACTGTTTCAGAATGTGATTTATGCTGCACCTGCCGACATCCTGTTACTGGTTACCTATGCTATTGTTGATATGCTGGTTACTATGGTTGATATGGTGGCTGCTCAAGAACAATCGGTCTTGAGACCATGGCTTGTGTCCTAGTTTCTCCTTTCCTCCCTGAGCTTTAGTTACTGAAGAGTATAAAAACCCTCAATTAAAATCAATAACTGACAGCTTGATCAGACATCCTGTCTTGCTGTCCATTCTTCATGTCTCTTGTCCCCCAATCTGTCCTAGGTGGTTGCGACCCCCGTTGACTGTCCTGCTGGATGGGACAATTTGGCGCCCAACGTGGGCCAAATTTTTTTTTTTTTGATCTGTTGCTGTTTAAATCAGTCTGACTAAATGGGTCGTTATTATAATGAGAAATCTTTGATCAAATATTTTAAGGCCTCTTGGCATATTTAATAGACTTAACTCTTCTGGTTCTGAGATTTCTAATAAATAAATAAATAAATAAAATAATAAAAATTTGAGGGGGCAGGGGGAATTGCAGAAAAGACTTTGGGAAACCTTGCCAGTGGGGAGCCAGGGCTAGATAACAATCCTGCCAGGAAGGCAAGGTCTAAAAAGTACAAGAGTGTGTAAAATCCTACAGGTCATATCACAGCACTGAATATAGAGACTTTGTTTTCTAGGATTCCAGCAGACCTACTGTATCCATTAAGGCTAAAGTTTAATTGTAAACTATAAACTTCAACACAGAAAAACTTTTCAAGTGCCAGGATGTACACCAAACACCTGATGACTTCTGCCTTCTATCAGGAACCACAAGATGGACACCCTACAGCTGCTGTTACCCAATGGCGTCCCCTCTCAGTAGGAAGTAGCTAAGAGCGGATGACAACGCCCCTTCTCCCTAAAAACAGTTGGGGTTGATTTCTGTTTGGAAATGTAGGAGCCAGATGGTAAAATAGGCAGTTAGGGTCTCTGGTCCCTTAAAACTGTCTTGTATACATGTAACATCTTAGCACTATGTGATTCTGGAATGTTAGTATTTTCAACGATACTTGCACATTGTTAAGTATGTCTTTTCGAATCTCACCAGCCAGCTGCTCCCCAATATACCATCATATAGGTGTCACCCCAGTAAAAGTTCACAATATTTTAGCGAGAGTGATAAAAATCAATCAATACCTCTGGAGACAATGGTCTAACACCTTCCTAAATTTCACCAGTCAGTTAGCCACCAGTATAATTAAAGTAAATGAGACCCGAGTTCTACCCATGTCGGGGAAAGTTATTCTAAATGGCATTAAGCTGGCAGCTTGCATGTTCAAGAAATGCAGCAAGGTTATGGCCTTAAAAACCTTGACGTTGCTGCAACGGCTCAGGCTCCCCAAGTGATAACCCCCACATCATTCAGTGCGGCTCCAGTCTTCAAAGAGGCTCATCTAATACAATGAGGCATCGCCTTTCCCAGGTAAGCACTTAGCCAATGACGGGCATCTTTCTGATACCCCGCCAACCTAAGACAGGGAGCCCTGGATGACTGGCAGGGCTGCCCAGAGATGGGTAAGAGTTGAGGGTCCCTCAGAATGAGCCTAAGACAGGCAGTGCTTATCTTGCCTCAAGGACCTTTATCTTTTCGCTGCTTTCATTGATATATAGAAAAGAGGGGGAGATGTCAGGAGCCGTGTACTGTAGCCACACTGAAGCCATTTTGAATATAGAACTATGGGCCAGTGGAAAATCCCCAGCTGGCCAGATGCTTGGGAAAGAAGTTATGAAACTAATCACACGCTTAGCTTCAATTGTTTGCAGCAACTGTTTCAGAATGTGATTTATGCTGCACCTGCCGACATCCTGTTACTGGTTACCTATGCTATTGTTGATATGCTGGTTACTATGGTTGATATGGTGGCTGCTCAAGAACAATCGGTCTTGAGACCATGGCTTGTGTCCTAGTTTCTCCTTTCCTCCCTGAGCCTTAGTTACTGAAGAGTATAAAAACCCTCAATTAAAATCAATAAACTGACAGCTTGATCAGACATCCTGTCTTGCTGTCCATTCTTCGTGTCTCTTGTCCCCCAATCTCTCCTAGGTGGTTGCGACCCCCGTTGACTGTCCTGCTGGATGGGACACGAGCCTACCTAAGCAAAGGGCCAAACACTTAGGGGAAGATCGTATTTAAATAGCCCACGTGGCATTTTCACTCCTTTTGTAACTTTTTGGTGCTGCAGCAGATGCTGGGGAACTACAGCAAAGATGCAAGTCCTTGAGCTGGCTCCAGGGGCCCAGGTGCAACCAGGAAGCAACACCGAGGAGGCTTGGCGGGGGCAGTGGGGGTGGGAGGTGGCACAGCTCAGCTGGGACCTCAGCAAAGCACCCGCATCCTGGGCAGCTGAAGGAGGCAGGTGCCGAGAGCCTCGAATGATGTTCTTGGGCGGTGCCAGCGCCGATGACGGGTCAGTGTGGGGAAGAATGGGGACGACGAGTGCTGTAAGACTTGGGCCCTGCTCAGTATGCCAAGATGTTCCCACAGTCAGGACGGCCCCTTCCCTCCTCCTCCTCCCCACCAGAGTGACTGGCAGGCGTCAGGCTGGGCAGACGTGGCTATGGAGGCCTCCAGTTTGGGTTTTCCTGTTAGTTACATGAACTTGAGTGAGTTCCTTCTCTAATTATCTCAGTGTTAAGCAGTGGTACAAGAGGCTCCCACGGGGACTTCTAAACATCCATACGGGAACTTGTTAGACACCCTGAGAGAGTAGCTAGCGTGACTACGGTTACACAGACAGGTCAGGGGGAAGTGGAGCTGAGTGCTAAAGGCTTACACGCTACATGGTTTAATGGCACAGAGGTGATTTCGTATGAGCACTTGCTTTCTCCCACACTGCAGATTACAAACCCAACTGGTTAGACAGCCTCTCAACTTTTACTCCAAGCTAACATGCTGGGCAGCCAATGAATTTCCTACCATTGCTTTTCCCCCAAGGGGAGAGGCTAAGGAGACTATTATATCAGTGTTGCTCCCATTAAGCCAGTCACGGGCAACAGAGCTAAGTTACGCTTTGTTTAGACGAAGCCCTTCTTTCCTTTCTCCCTCTACTTGTACAAGACAAAGCTTCTGTGTGGGCCTGGTGTGATGGCTCAGTGGCTAAGTCTCCTTGCATGTAAGTGCCAGAAGGGCGCTGGTTTGTATCCCGGCAGCGCCATTGCCCATCCAGCTCCCTGCTTGTGGCCTGGGAAAACCTTGAGATCCTGCACCTGCGTGGGAGTTCTGGAAGAAGCTCCTTGCTTCTGGCTTTGGATTGGCTCAGCTCCGGCCACCGTGGCCACTTGGGACGTGAACAGTGCATGCAAGATCCTTCTGTGTCTCCTTCTCTCCATAAATCTGCCTTTCTGATAAAAATATATATATTTTTTCCTCTAAGAAAAGCTTCCCCGAGCACTCCCATCTTAGGGATGGGAGGGTACTGCCAGGGTAGCATAGACCGGCGAGAGAGGCCTCCAGCGAAGTTCTCTTAAGCTACACATATTTCATTGATGTCAATATCACGATGTGTGCTTCTATTAACAGGAACATCGCAGTGCCTTCTGGGTATCTAGAACTTCCCTGAAGCTCATAATGATAAGCGAAGACTGCCCAGTCTTGTTACATGACGACGACTAGTCTCCCTGCACAAATCAGACCACAAAGAATAGGAATCGTGTTGAAACTCGACAGTCTCCGAGGGAGATCAGAAGAGTAAGACCAGCTCCACTATACCTGTAGGTTCATAGCATTTTTTTTAGCCGGCCGGTTAAACATGATCTGCGAGATGCCGCCCTCGGAGGTCACCACGAGGGTCTCATATCCGGCTCTGTTAGCGGCTCCCGGCCCCGCTAGACGTGAGGGGTCTGACGAGGCGCTCAGACTGGACGCCAAGTGCACATAGCTCCGCCTGGCAGTTTCCTGAAGAACAGACAACAACTTCAGCTCGTGGGTAAGGAATGAGCATGCTAAGATAGCAATGAATAAATAGCACTTTGCAAAAGGAAGATGGGAGAGGCCTGGATGTAGCTGAGCACATAGAGAGCTTGAGGGCGCCCTTGGTCATGGCTTGCTGCTAAGCACCATCTTCTTGCCAAGTCCTGTGAGTCAAATCAAAACTGAGGAACCGGTGGACTCACCTTGGGTAGGCTGCCCAGGGCATCCCTCGCATCCCACTTGGCTCTGTGGATGACGTCAAACACACCTGGTTTGGGCACATTACAGGGTCCTTCAGTAGGCTGTGGAAAGGAGACGGGGGAGTGACAGTGACAAAACGCTCACACAAACTAGATTTCCAACCACTAGAATTCACAGCAGCCGTGGAAGCGTCGCCCAGCCCCCTCACAGGGTCTTTGTCTCACCAGACTTTTCCCTTGTACCCCTCCCTAAAAAGGCACAATAGAAAACAGAAGGCTGCAAAGGAAAAGGTGTTCCTGGCTGTGGGTCCCTCAAATGAGATACAGCTGCCTGCCAGTAAAGATAAGGCCGGGCAAAGGGCCGGTCCACAGCACGGTCCATAGCACAGTCCACAGCACGGTCCACAGCACAGTCCACAGCACGGTCCACAGCACGGTCCACAGCACGGTCCACAGCACGGTCCACAGCACTCTAGCAGCTCGCTCCTGACACTGCCCGTTCCACTTGTCACAAGCAATCATCAGAAGGAATGAGCCAGCAGACATCTGGGAAGAAGGTACGTTCTGGAAGCTCACAGCAGTCCAATGGTGGGCAACTTGGCTGAAGAAATATGGTTTGGGGGCCAGGGTGCAGCTGCCAGAGCCTTCGGCCCTTGGGATACTGAACTGAAGGACATGCAAGCAACAAGCCATGAGTTTTTATTTGTTTTGAGGTTGGCCTGGGTGGGGACTTGGAGATGAAACACCCCCCGCAGCCAAAAGTGGCCACTTAAACTCCTGTTTTAGATTTGACAGTACGCTTTGACCAAAGAGGACAAGTGAGGCTGTGGGAAAGAAAGCAGAGGTGGCTGTGGCTCTGCAGCCACCAAAAAGAGAGCAGGCCACAGCCCACACTGTGGTTGTCTTTACTTTCTAAAAATTCATTTTTGAGAGGCAGGTTTAGAGAGAGAGAGAGCGCTTCACTTGTTGGTTCACTGCTCAGATGACCACAATAGCCAGAGAGGAGCCAGTCCGAAGCCAGGAGCCTCATCCAGGCCGCCCACGTGGCTGCAAGGGCCCAGGGCCTTGGGTCATGCTGTGCTGCTCTCCAAGGTATGACCAAGTGAGCAGCTGGACCCCAAGCCGATACCCATATGGAAACCACAGGCAGGGGCTTAGGATGCTACACCACGGCACCACTTCTCTTTTCTTAAAAAAAAAAAAAAATTATTTGAAAGGGAGAATGAGAGAATCTTCATCCCCAAGTGGCAGCAGGGCTGGGCCACGCTGACTCCGGAAGCTAAGACCTCCAGGCAGGTGTTCCTCATGGGTGACATCCACTGCTTTCCCAGGTACAGCAGCAGGTGAGGGATTCAAAGCATCACTCGGACTTGATGCCAGTGCCACAGGCAGCAGCTTAACCTGCAGGTGCCACAGGCTGGCCGTGAGCACACCTGCCTCTGACACCAAATGCAACACTGGGCGGGGGGACGAGAGTATCCACAGCTTCATCATTTTCTAGAAAGATTCACAGAGCTTGCTGCAAGGCATCCCACACATGGCTGTGATTTCCAACAGAAGGCCGTAGAGGAGAACCAGCCAAGGGCAGCAGCCAGTGTGGCATCGGCTATGCCCTGCTCCCGTGTCACTCCCAGAACTGACGGCCAAGCATGGGAGTCCTGCCAAGCCAATGTGCTCACCTGGCCCAGCGCCCAGAGCTTCTCCTGGGTTGGGGACTGTCCTGTAAGGATCCACATGACTGTGTACATCCTAAACCACACTGTTAGGTGATCCAAAATCCTACCAGCCACAATAGTTCAAAGGTAAAGCCAGACGTCTCTCTGGGCCATTTACAAATCTTCATTATAAACACTTGTGTATGAAAGCAAGCCCTCACGGCAGGCAATCACAGGACAGGAGACAGGTACAAACTCCACAGTCCAGACGGGCAGACCTGCCAGGGAAACCTCCGGCTTTACAAATGATAAACGTTTTAATTCTGGGGCCACTGGGGAGCGGGGGCAGGGCAGTGGGTTAAGCCACTGCCTAGGCACTGGTTATCCTGTGGGAGTGCTCAGCTTCTGATTCAGCCCCCTGCTCATGTACATAGGAAGACGGAAGATGACCCAAAAGCCTGGGCCCTTGCACCCACGCGGGAGAGCAGGAGCAGTAGCACACTGCTGGCTAAAGCCTGGCCCAGCCTTGGCCATGGCCGCCATTTCAAGAGTGAACCAAGGGATGGAAGATTCTCTGACTCATGCTTTGTCATCCTGCCACTCAAAGACACAAGCAAATCTATAAAAGCTTCTAATAAAAATACAACTTTTTGCAAACATACACCCAATATAAAATGTTGCAATGAATTCCTAATACCCATCACCCAAATTCAACACTTACCCTCTTTAGCCTTGCTTGCTTCCTCCCTCCCTCCCTTTTTCTTCCCTTTTCTTTTATTTGCTTCCCTCTCTCCTTCCTCCCTTCTCCCCCTTTCCTTTCTTTATTTCTTCTCTACCTCCCTCCCTTTCCCTTCCTCCTTTCCCTCCCAGACACGCCATTTCACTTGTTAGATACTCACTATGCATTTTGGAAAAATTCCAACTTGTTATTTTACAGCGACACTAGTCCCTGCTGACTCCTCACACTCGGCCTGTATTCCGATCGCCTCAGCTGACTCCAAATACCCCTTTCAGTTGGTTTAATCAGAAGCTGAAAGAGGTCAGCGTGTTTGAATGCTGTCTCAATTCTAAGTCTCATTCTACATTGTCCTAGAAGGCTCTAGAAGGCTTACCCTGTGCCCTAATAGCATTCCAGGCCTGCTCTACCCCAAACCCACATGCCTAACCTCCAGAGGAAAGGAGGCGACTCACACACACTTTAGCAAGCACGCCATCGCACATCTCCTTAAGGCCATCTGGGAGAGTCCGGGACACTTGCCTGCTTGTGCAGGGCGTAGAGTTTGAGCTTCACTTCATTGCCTGGATCCTCCAAGTGTTTCACCTGACTCTGGGCGTTCTCAAAGTCCTTCTCGCTGGTGCTCATGGTCCTGCTATTCGGGCGTGGTGGGCACCCAGGGAGACCCCAGACCTGCAGGAAGCTGCACACAGGTGGCGGACTGCTCGTGGCCTGGGCCCCTGAGGCTCCTGCGACACGAGTCCCCCACCGCACACACACACAGCAAAGTCCACAGGAAACACGTGACTGAAGGGCATGGTACACGGCAGACACAGGCAGGAGGCCAAAAGGAAAATCCACGGAGCGAGTCGCACGCCCTGAGGTTGCGAAGCAGCTCGGACTCTCGCCAGTATTTCCGACTCTGCTTGGCAGATGTGTGCTTCCCCTAACACACGCTCAGCGCCAAGCCTGGGGAACAGCGGATTAAGCCTCCACCCGGGACTCCTACATCCCAGACCACAGGGCCTTTGTTTCCAACCCAGCTTCCTGCTAATGTGGCCTGGGATGATGGTCCAAGTGCTTGGGTTTTTGCTATCCACATGGGAGCCTTAGACCTGGACTAAGCCTGACAATCGTAGACATTTGCGAGGAGAGAATCAGGAGATGGAAGATCTCTCTTTCCCCCTTTCAGGCTTTCAAAAAATCACAAATAAACTTTTTATTAAAGAGTTTTTTTTTTTTTTTTTAAATTGGAAAGGCAGGTTTACAGAGACAAAGAGACACAGAGAGACAGATTTGCATCCTCTGATTCACTCCCCAAATGGCCACAATGCCTGGAGCTGAGCCAATCCAAAGCCAGGATCCAGGAACTTCTTCCGGGTATCGCACACGAGTGCAGGGTCCCAAGGCTTTGGGCCGTCTTCCACTGCTTTCCCAGGCCACAGGTAGGGAGCTGCATGGGAAGTGGAGAAGCCAGAACACGAACTGGCAACCATATGGAATGCCAGCACCTGCAGGTGGAGGATTAGCCAACTAAGCTATCATACTGGGTCCACAAATAAATTTTGCAAAACGCATATATTCAGCAGAAGGAGGGGGAAATGGGGGATGGACAGAAAAATCCTTTGAGACAGAAGAGTAGCAGTGGGAAGGGGTGCAGGGGGGTTCAACGGGCCCCTTTCCTCATCAGGCCATTCAGCCAGGCGGGCGGGAGTGGGGGAGCACAGCAGGCTCACACACAGGGAGCCGCACACAGGCTGTATCAGCACCCTTCAACACACACCACCTGCCACAGGCCACAAGGACAGCCGGATGGTCACCATGCTGACCCTGAACAGCAAGTCCTGCCATGGAAAACAAAGCTCATCCGTGTGCCCCTTGTTGTGCAACTGCAACTTGACCAATAGCACGATGAACTCTGTTAACATCGTGCGATATCAAATATATCAAGTCAACACAGTAAGATGTTAGTTTTTTTGTCCCCCACTGTTACAGGCAAACCGAGCATGCTGCATGAATCTGACACCGCACAAACAGGAAAGAACTTGTTCACGGTAAGCTTAGCGTGCGCAAGTTCCCTCAGATTGCAGTGCGAGCTTGCTTAAGATGCGCGGGTTTTAAAAGAACCAAGCACAGGGCCAGAAGATTCAGTCCGGGGAGACTGCCGCTTAAACGCTGGAGGGGAGCCGCGCGTTCCGGGTCCGGCTCCCGAGCGCAGCCCGCTCGGCCCCGCGGTTCCCTTCAGCGTTGTACCCGGCCGTCGGCAGCTGCCTAGGCTTCCGCGCCTTTCCTCGCTCCGGAGCTACGGCGTACAGGAGTTCAAGGCCTCCCCACCACCCCCTGCACCCCTCCGGCCAGCCACAAACCGCGAGTGGGAAGTCCTGTTGAGCAAACCGGAGAGGGCGGGCCGGGGCCTAGCACCTGCGTCGGTGACCTTGGCCTGGGGGACCGGGGCTCACCTCGCGCACAGGCGCCGCGCCGCTCTTCCGGTCCACTGCGCCATAGCACGCAGCGGGCCAATGCGCAGCCCGGGCTCGGACGCCGCGGGTGATACTCGGGGGGCGGGCCTGGGGCGGGGCCGGGGGGCCGAGCAGCGGCCGGTGACGCTCGGGGGACCCGGCTGGGGCCGGGGGCTCGCCTCCAGGGCACCGCAGGGAGGGCCCCGCGGCGCAGCACGCGTGGGCCTGCGGGAGGACAACCGCCATCCGGGAGCGTCCGCTGCGCCTGGAGACCTCGCGCGCCCGCGACACCGACCAAGGCCGCGGCTGCTCCAGCTGTCGGTGAGCCGCTCCCCGCGCCAGAAAGAGGGTAACGGTGCATTGCGTGAACACACACACACACACACACACACACGCACACTCACCTCACACAGACGTGCCCCTCACCCCCAACTTCCCCAAGTCAGGGAGTTGTGAGTCCTGTGTGAGCACTTAACAGGATAAGGTGCTTGGGGAAGGAGGGCCCGAGACTTTAGCAGGGCCTTTCACCATCTCACCTTGTCCGGTTCCCCCAGGAAACAACAATTTTAAATCCACTGACTTGAAATCAGGTACTCAGAGTGCTGTCTTAAAATACGTTCCCCCTTCCCCCCCGCCCCTTTTTTTTCTTTCAAATACGTATGTAGCTGGCACTGCTTGGGTACTGACAGGTACTTGTGATTTTTCGAGCAGTCCTACTGGAAAAAATATACCACCCTCATCTGAGAGGGACACCCTGGGAGAATGAGTGAGATGACTGCCCGGGGCAGCCCTGGGGGCAGAATCCAGCTCTTAGGTAACTTGCTGTGCTGTCGGCCAGCGGTGTTGGCAGGTGGATCTGGCAGTTATATAAGGAGGGCATAGGTGTTCCAACATCGGCCTCCCGCACAGCCAAGTGCAGGTTCCTAGCTCAGTTCAGGCTCTCACGACCACCACTTTCTTCCTGCCCCCAGATTTCACTGGCGCCCCTAGCCAGTGCCGGAAGAGCTGAAATAGGAGATTCATGGGTCTCTGGGAGGTGAGACACCTGTTACAACCCCCCCGGGGTTGGGGAAAAAGAGCCGTGGTGGCCTTCTGGTACAGTGGATTAAGCCTCTATCTGCCACCTCCGGCACTCCATGTGAGCACAGGTTCAAGACTCCTCTCTTTCCTTCCCATCCAGCTCTCTGCTAATGTGCCTGGGAAGGCAGCAGACAGCAGCCCGAATGGTTGGGGACCCTGTCACCCATGTGGGAGATCCAGATGGAGTGCCCGGCTCTTGGCTTCAGTCTGGCTCAACCCCAACCATTGTGGCCACCTGGGGAGTGAACGAGAGAAGGAAAGATTTCTGTCTCTCTGTAACTGTGCCCTTTAAATCATAAATCTCTTTTAAAATTACCCTGGCTGCTGGGGGGCGGGGAGGGAGTTGAGCATTTGGCATGGAGGTAGGCATGACTTGGGCCACTTCTGTGCCATACCTGAGTGCCTGAGTGATAGCCTCACTGCCCTGCTTCTAACCGAGTAACAGGTGCTGTGCTAAGGCGCGCTCTGCCAGCAGATGAAGGTGCGAGTGCTTGGGTTCCTGCGACCCACTTTGGGGGATCCCAATGGAGTTCGTGGCTCCTGGCTTCTGCTGGGTGTGAGCAGCTGGGAGATGTTTCCCTGCCTTTTGGATCAGTCATTCAACCTTGCCCGTGAGCGTATTTGCACAGTGAGACTGCCTGTGTGCAAGTGAATACTTCCAGGGCTTATACCTGCCATAAGTCACATGGAGAAGTTAGCCGGCTTTGTCAAAGTATGGTTGTAAAAACATGGCAAAGCACGGTGAGAGATTTAACTTATTCGTTGTTGGGGCGCTGGCATCGTGGTATATTGGGTAACACCGCTGCCTATGATGCTAACAGCTTAGGTGAGGGCAAGCTTAGTCCCAGAAGCTCCACTTTGGGTCCAGCTCCCTGGCAGATGGGCTGGGTTCCTGACGCCCACGTGGGATTCCCAGACCAAGCTCTTCCTGTGTCTCTTTCTTCCCCTGTCTCTGCAACTTTGTCTCCCAGATACATACATATGTCTTTAAAAAGATGTGTTAAGTAGGGAACCAGCAGGATGGTAAAGAAATACTTGAAATCCCTGTTTATTTCATCTGTGTAAAAAATAATGTTTGAATTGAGTGCCAAGCCAGGTACAAATCTGGTTAGATATTCTACAACCGTAATGTCTGTTTCGCTTTTTTCAGTTAGGTAAGCCATTTGCATCCCCAGCAACTGTCATTTATGAAAGCCCTGGCTTCTGCTGGCTTTTCAGCAGGGGGAGACTGTTGGGTGGGCAGACATTCCTGGCCTAAGGTCGTCTTGGCCGACCTTTGGTCTTTCAAGCTGTTTCCAGGAGACCCCTCTGGGCAAATGTGGCTGCCATGGTGTTGTGGGTGGGGGATGGAGGGAGGGGTGCTTCTTGGCCAAAAGGAGCCCTTCTGTCTCGGATCATGTTCCATCCGAGAGTGAAAGTCACTGCATCTCTGCTATGGACTTTGGATTCTGGGTGGGAGCAGAGGAGAGTCACTGCAGGTACGGTTGGCACGGCTGGCACTTCAGGTGCAGCCACAGGCTCCCAGCACATCACTGTAATGGGCTGCCCTGGATGGGGGTAGGAGGGGAGGAGCCCGATCAAGACCCCCGAGTCTCTCACCTCCCTGGTGCAGATGATGCCCTTGGAGGGAGTGTACCTTGTCTGGATAGAGTCTGTCTTGGGATCTTTCTTGCAGGGGACTAGTGTTGCCTCATGTGAAAGTTGATGCTGTTCTGAATATCGAATCTCTAAGACCCTCCTGGTGATTATAGGAGCCTAGAAAAAGGGTCTTGGGCTGCACTGAATCTTGGGGGGCAGTATACTCACTCCCTGGTGGTGTTCTCAGGGCTGGAATTCAATCTTTCTTTCTCAGGACCTGGCTAGTCCTCTGTCTGTAAGTGCCAGCATCCCTTATGGGCACTGTTTTGTGTTCTGGCTCTTCCACTTTCCATCCAGCTCGCTGCTTATGATGTGGGAAAGCAGTGGACGACGGCTTTGGGAACCTGAACCCGGGTGGAAGTTCTGGAAGAATGTCCCAGCTCCTGGCTTCCGGTCAGCTCAGTTCCGGAGTTACAGTCATTTGGGAAGTGATCCAGATCTTTCTGTCTCTCTTTGTAAATTTGCTTCTCCAATAAAAATAAGTGTCATGTTTTCATGATCACAGATTAGAATCTGCCATTGTTGGATTTTGCAATTATTTATTTATTATTAAATATTTGTTTTGTTTTCGTTTGAAATATTGACAGAGAAAGAGGAGAGGGAGTGACAGAGAGAGCGTCCATCTATGGATTCACTCCCAAGGGCTGCAGCAACTGGATGTGGGCCTGTCTGAAGCCAGGAGCCAGGAGCTTCTTCCAGATCTCCCGTGTAGGTGCAGCGGCCCGAGCACTTGGGCTGTCCTGCCTTGCTTTCTCCAAGCACGTTAGCAGGGAGCTGGATCAGAAGTGGAGCAGTCAGGACTTGAAGAGGCACCTGTATGGGATGCCAGCGATGCAGGTGGAGACCTAACCTACTATGCCACGCACGATCCAGATTATTTTTATTTCTAATATATGAGTCAAATCTTGTTATTGTAACATAAAAATCCGTCATTTTCGGTCCTGGCAGATTTTTACTCTGTGAAAGGAACAAGCTGGATAACGGGAAAAGGCCTAGTCATTTTGTCTCTTAAACATTCATTGACTTTTTTCCTCTTTTCTGATTTTCCACCCACACAATTCTTTTTTTTTTTAAATCTCTACTACTTCTATTATTATTATTATTATTATTATTATTATTATTATTATTATCATAGTATGATACAGTTCCATAGGCCCTGGGATTTCCCTTATCGCTCTCCAATTTTCTCTCCCCTCACTGAGTTCCCTATATCATTACTATGGTATAGTTCTTCATACACAGTCATATGTCCATCATTGCGGGCATGGACAATGGCAGAGAGTCCAGCATCCTATTGTCAAGATACAGGAAACAGTTTCGTTGGGAGTCCATCTTTGTCTGGAAGTAGAGATGCATGCTGTATTGTGTCCTCACATCTGGATATGACAGTCTGCATTACACAGTTACTGTACATCCACTTAAATGAAAAGCCACAAACAAAATCAACATCAGGGAGAAAAAAAGAAATTAGCAACACCATGAAGTTAAGTAACTAATATGTTGCTGAAGAAAAGAAAAAGATCAAAAACCTTCTTGAAGCAAATGATGCTATGCTATAATCTATGAATCAGTGAAGAATTTAATAAAAAAGTGTTTTGTAGAGATGAAACTAAAAAAATTAAAATTTATGAGATATAGTTTCCACTGATATTTGTTGGTGACATGTGTCTCCTGTGGGCAACAAATAGATGGTTGTTTTTTTTTAATCCAGTCTACTAATGCATGAAGTTTGATTGATGAATTTAAGCCATTTACATTCAGGGTTAATATGAGTGGGTGGTAATTTGGTCCTGTCATTTTAGCAATGGGTTGTTCATTGATTTAGTCTTCTGTTGTTATTTCCTGGGACGTTCTTCACATTTGCCTTTGTTTTTTTGTGGGTGCTATTCCTTTTCTCTGTCAAGAGATAATGTTTAAGTATCATTTGTAGGACAGGTTTGGAAGAGGCATATTCTTTAACATTACTGTGGAAGAATCTTATTTCATTTTCAAACACAAAGGAACGTTTGTAAGGGTACGTTATCTTAGGCCGACAATTTTTTTCTTTTAGAATCTGGATTATGTCACTCTATTCTCCTCTGGCTTGTATTGTTTCCTGTGAGAGGTCTCCTGTGAGTTTAACTGCCATTGCTCTGTATGTCAATTGACTTTTTTCATGTGTACATTTAAGGATCTTTTTCTTATGTTCAATTGAAGAGAGCTTGATGATCATGTGTCGTGGTGAAGATGGCTTTTGGTCAACTCTGTTGGGAGTTCTGTGCCCCTCCTGGATGTTATTTCTCAATTCTTTCTCTAGACTAGGGAAATTTTTCCTTATTATTTTATTAAATACATTTGTAAACCCAGCTT